ATCAGAAACTTCTGTTTTTTAAAAGACATTGTTAACAAAATGAAAATACAAGTTTATCTGTTGCTGTGTAAAAAATGCCTTCAGAACATAGCGGCTGAAAACAAAAACATTTATTATCTCTCATAGTTTCTGTGGATCAAGAATCTATGACTTGTGTGGCTGGCCATTTCTGGCTTGGAGTGTCACTTGAGATTGCAGTCATCTGAAAGCTTGTCAGAGGCTGGAGGATCCACTTCCAAGGTGCCACCCATAGCTGGCAATTGGCTATTAGCTGTTTATCAACAGGCCTCAGTTTCTATCTGTATGGGTCTTTCCAAAGGCTGGCTTTCTCTAGAACAAGCACTCCAGGAGGGCAAGATGGATGCTGCAATCTCTTATGATCTAGCCTCAGAAGTCACATACCATCACTTCTACAATTTCCTGGTCACACAGGTCAGTCATATGGAGGGCGGGGGGCTCTATAAAAGTGTTGATACCAGGAGGCCAAGATCAATGGGGTTCATCTTGGATAGACATATAGTTTATATATGCTTATACACATAGTTTGACCACCCTGGTAACCCATAAACTGGGAGAAAAGATTTTATAAATATATATCTCATGAAGGATTGGTATATAGAACTACACATAGAAGAGACAAAAACAATGTGAAACGGGGAAGAGATTTGAGCAGAAACCTCATCAAAGAAAATATACAAATGATCCATAAGCAAATGAAAAGATGCTCAACATCATTAGTTATCAGGGGAATAGAAGAGACAACACCATGACTTACCAGTACACATCCATGATAATGGCTAAGATCAGAAAGGAGTGACATTACCAAGCGTTAAAAAGGAAATGGAACATCCAGAACATACATTGCTGGTGGGAATGTAAAATGGTACAACCACTTTGGAAAGCAGGTTGGTGATTCTTTTAAGGTTAAATATATACTTAGCATATGACCCAGAAATTCCACTCCTAGGTGTTATTTACCCAAGAAAATAAAAACATATGTCAACACAAATATTTTTAACCACATAGTCATGGAATCTTTAGTCACAATAACCAAAAACTGGAAATAAACAAAATGTCCATGAATAGAACAAACATTTAAAAAATTTGGCAAATCCATACAATAGAATAGTGGTAAACGGTAAAGAAGGAACATTGCTACACACAATATGAGCAAACCTCTAAAATATGCTGAGCCAAAGAAGCTAGACACAAAGAAGTACATAGTGAATGAGTCCATTTATGCCATATCCTTGAAAAAGTAAAATTAGTATCCAGTGGTAGAAAGCAGAAAGCCTAGAACCAGGGTTAAAACAAGGTGAAGCAGCACCCAAATGAACAAAAGATATGAAGCAAACCCACTTCTTTCATAAGTATATGTGAAAGAGGGAAATTTTAAGGTGCAGGGAAAACAAGTTAATGAGAGATTTCTCACCTTGGGCACCATATTGCCATTTGAATCTGATAATTCTTTATTGCTGGAGGTGTGTGTGTACTATCTTGGGTACTGAAAGATATTTAGCGCTCTCTGGTCTCTACCCACAAGATGGCAATGGAAATCTCTCCCTCCACCAGTTGTGACCAACAAAAACGTCTTACAACATTGCCAAATGTCCCCATGAATGCAAAATTGTCCCTAGTTGAAAACTACTGGGTTAGTGTATTTGTTATCTATTGCTGCATAACAAAATTCTCTCCCAAATTTGGTGGCTCAAAACAATAAACATGCATTATCTCACCATTACTATGGGTCAGGTATTTCAGAGTGACTTGGTTGGGGGATCTGATTGAACTTTTCTAATGTGGTTGAAATCAAAATGTCTGCATCATCTAAATGCCTGACCGGGACTAGAGAAACTGCTTCTAAAATGGCTCAATCACATGGAGATTGGCAGGAAGCTCAGATCCTTGCTGTTATTTGGCAGGATATTCTGTTCCTTGCCATGTGGGCATCTGATAAAGTTACCTGACATGTCCTCATGACATGGTAACTGCCTTCCCCAGAGCAAGTGATCTGAAAGAAAGTAGGGAAGAGCCATAATACCTTTTTAAGATCCCTTGGAAGTGACAGTCTGTCACTTCTGCTATATTGTACTCATTAGAAGCAAGTCACTAAGTCCAACTCACATTCACTTGGAAGAGAATTAGACTCTACTTTTTAAATGAAGGACTATGAATAAATTTGTGGGCAGATTTTAAAATCATAATAGCTGTAGAAGGATTCTTTAACAAACAAGCTAGGGAAGATCAAAGACTATGTAGAGAAAATAAAAAATAGATCATGTTTCCAAAATAAATCTGAAGGGATTAAATTATTTAATGACAAAAGTGAAATTACTAAATAGAAAAAAAAATAAAGACAGATATCCATATGATCTCAGGATGGGAAAGGACTTATGAAGCATAAAATAATAGAAGAAAACAAAAATGGAAAAGGCCAATCATTTCATCTGGGATCAATATCCATACTATATATAGGTTGTCTTTCTGTGAATAAAAGAAATAAGAAAATGAACAATGGACTAATGGCAGGATACCACGTTTGCTCATATGAAAATATACCATGATGAGTTGGCACAGTGAAGGATAATCATATACTCTCCAACAGTGCTGTGGGAAAATTGATAATAACAATATAACAAAAGCAATTTATTATGTGCCACATAATTCTTGGTATTTTATTTGTAGCAACTCATTTGCTTTTCACTGCAATATCATGTAGTAGCATCATACCAATTTTCTGGTTAGGCACTGTTAGATTAAGGAATTTGGCCAAATATCCTAGTTTGCAGGTGGCAGCAAAATTGACTTATCCAATTGTCAGTAGGCACAGTGGCTCAGGCTACCATAAAAATGTTTTTAGGTAGCCCATAAAAATGTTTTAATTTCTTTTAAAATCAGAAGGGAAAGGCTGAAGAAAATATTTTCATGTATAGTATTAATATGTTTGTCTTTAGTTTTTAATATTATTTTATGGAGGAAGAGGCCCACAAAGGTAAAGGCATCTGGGAACCCACAAAAGTTTGAATATGGCCTTCTTGGGTAGCAGAGCTGCATTTTGCATGGTGGTCCACGCAACCTGACACCTAAGCCTATGTTCTTTCTGGAAGGCAACCTGCCAATATGTTTCAAAAGGGCTAAAATTATTTATACTTCTGATTACTTTTAAGGATTTAAACTTAGGCAGTAAGTAAGGATACAGACAATGATTTATAAAAAAGACATTTATAATAGTATTTGTTTGAAACCAAGGAAATATTTAATAATGAAAAGTTGGCTCAACATTGACTGCAAATTTAGGGGCCTTGGTGACTATTAGGAGCTTCTGAGGACTCAGAGGGGAACTGAAAGTGAGTAGGAAGTGGAAGGAGGCCTGTAGGCATTCTGGAGATGGCAAGCAGACCTCTGCTGGGTATGTGTGCGTGATATCTGAGAGTGCACTTCTAAGCATGTTTTTGAACTCATTTTTAATGAGAGCGGACAAACAAAACAGTGAGGAAGAGGTTAGAGGAAAACAGTACTCATTTAAGCAGAGATCAGTGAACGCAATCAGGGGAACACTGAAGACAGAGCTCTAAACCCCAAAGACAGAGGGACCTATCATGCGACAGTAAAGAAGCCTGGAAGATCATGTTAATCCTTCTCTTGAAAGCTCTGAAGAGCCAATGAAAGATTTTAAACAGTGAAGCGACACACTCACATGTGTATTTTAGAATAATCGTGGTGGATATGGCCTGCGTTGGGCCCTGGTATCAATTCGGAGTGTAGAAACTAATGGAAGGGAGAGGAAGAGAAGGTACATTCCTTCAATCAGAGTTATTATTTAATCTTACAATTCTTCACGGGGCGTTGATGCTCTTCTTGGTACATAGCTTTTTCAAGAGCTTAATTAGGATGGGAAAAGAGGGAGAACTAGAGAGAGGTTTTAAAGTCGAGGAGAAATTTAAGACAGAACACAATTAAAACATCATCATGCTGAGGGGGCACAGGAGGGAATGGACAGTAAAGAGGTCCTCTTTGGAGAGAAGCAGACACCCAGCCTTGGAGTCAGAAGGAAAACCAATAGGCTCGGGTGTGGATGTAGGTAATTTATGGGGCTTGGGTGAGGCGGGTGGGCCAAAATTGTAGAAACCCATGCTTGAGGGCCTTTCTCATTTCTGAAGTAGAAGACCAGTCATCTGGTGAGTTATGTGGTCACCACTGACTTCTATTTGCAGGGCGGCCTTCTAAAAGCAACGCACAGAACCAACAGTACTTCTAGAGACTTAGTTAACTCGTTTTTCTAAATGGGGAGAATGTACTATTTTTCACGGCGGCACCGTGCGAATTTGCTGCACGGACACCTGTACCTGCTCAGTACCAGTTTTATCACCGTAGCGCTATGGGGCGAACGTTTTGGTGACTAATGAGAATAAAGCGGAAGTCTTCTGTGGCCACCTGTCAAATGCAGTAGTATTTACTCTTGCAATGGGATTCTAGGTCAGATCCTCAGGTCAAGGAGTATTTATTAACAGCCTACTTTTGAAGTAAAGCACTCGAGATGAGAAGGCCAGCGCCGGGGGCCCTGACCCGAGGTCGCTCACCCGCGCTGCCCCTGTCCGGGACGGGAAAGCAGGGTCAGCAGCACCCACCTCCCGCTCCCAAAGGCCTCTTCCCAAATCTCAGCGGTGGCCCCGCCCCCTCCACAGGTTTGGGCCCCGCCCCCCTCCTCCCATTGGCTGGCCCTCCAGCTCTCCTCGACCGCGCTCCGCAGCCCCGGAGGAGCGGAGTTTTCCGAAAGCATCCTCGCGGGGGCGCCCTCGCTGCGCATGCTCGCGGGAAGCCCGGGTTCCGGGTCCCGGCGTGGGGGGAGGGGGGCTCTGAGGCGGCCGCGGCGTAGGCGCGCGCTCGCGGCGCGGCGCCGGTGACGCGAGCACGCGGCGCGCTCCTGAGGCGGGAGGTGTGGGGTCTGCCGGGGGCGGCGCGCGGCCGGGGTGGGGGTGGGGGGAGGGTCGGGTGTCGCCGAGCGCGGCGAGCGGGTTCCAAGAGGCTGCAGGCGGCCTGGGCTGCCGGGGCCGACGCCTGGGTGGCTGCCGCCGCCGCCGCCGCCGCCGCCGCCGCGCCTGCTGCGAGATGGCGATCTTGGGCGCGGAAGGGTGAGGGCGCCCCGCCGCTGGAGTGGCCGCCCGACCGCCGGGAGCCGACGGCTTTGCGCCGGGTAAGGACGCCGCGGCGGGGGGCGCGGGGGGCGCGGGGGGGCGGGCGCGGCGGCCCCCGGGCCGGAGCCTCTGAGGGGCGGCTGCCGACCGTCCGCGCCGCGCCGGCCGCCTCCCCCGGCCCGGGGGCCCCGGAGTTTTCTGGGGTGGGGTCACGGGGCTTGCCCCGCGTTGGCCCCGGCGCAGGCCCGAGCAGAGGATCCCGGAGGAGCCAAGTGTCTCCGTGACTCTGCAGCCGCCGTCCTGAGGCTCCCTCAGCCTCCCCTCAGCGTTCCGTCCGCCTCCTCGTCCTCCCCCCGCAGCACCCCTCCGAAACCATCCCCGCGCGTGGACTTGCAGCCGCTGCCCTGACTTCCATCGCAAGACTCCCGGCCGTACAAAAAGGCGTTTTTATTTTCCTGACGTGTTTTGATCCCTCCGGGTTCTTCCCTGACTCTGCAGTGCCCCCCCCACACACCCCAACACAACCCCCACCTCCACCTTTGTGTGACCTGGTAGGTCCCAGTGACCTTGCAGTTTTTACTCCTTATCTCCTCAGTGACCTGGACCTTCTCCTTTCATCTTTAAAAAAAAAAAAAAAAAAAGGTTTTGATTTTGTAGTTTGTCCATTGTTTTTTTTGTTTGTTTGTTTGTTTTTTGTTTTTTGTTCTTTTTTTTTTACAACTTCCGAAGGATCCTCAGTCCTTCCTTGACTCCATCGTCTGGAGTTAGTTGAGCGTCCTTTGCTCCCGTAATTACAGGGAAATCTTCCCTACCCAAGACGAGTATCTTTTATTTTGACATTCTTACTATTCCAGGATAAAATATTTTCCAGGGGCTTGGTGTGACTTTTTCTGCTTGGTGAGTTTTTATCTTTTTTTGTGTGTGTAGGCTACTGTGCAAAAAAAAAAAAAAAAAAAAAAGATTTTGAGTTTCGGCTTTAAAAAGCTACTGGTCAGAGTGGAAAATAATGTCCAAAGTTCTCTTTTTCTCCCCCTTTGGTGTTTTTTGTTTTGTGTTTTTTTTTTTTTTTTAACCTGAAGTACCTGCTGTACAATGTATGCGGGTTTCTGCAAGCGCTCATCCTTCTGTAGGAATCCAGTTGACCTGTCTCGCTAAGGCTCTGTGGATGATACAAGCAAAATGCACCTTTAAAAAATAAAAATAAAGGCATTCTCTTAGGTGACTTTGCTTTGGCCGTAAAGTAGATATTAGTTGGGACTGCAAATTATCACTTCTTGTAAACAGTTAATATTTTTTGAACTGAAAAATTCCTGGCCGAGTGTTGGGAGCTACTCACACTGAGAAGTGTAAAAAGTATGTAGAATAGTTACTTGGTATGTAGCTTATTGATGTTTTCACATAGCTTTTCCCTTAAAATACAGAACTGTTTATAAGACATCTAACGCCAAGACTTAAAGGGCAGTGGGGTTATGTTTTTTAGAATCCTGGCATGATAGAGGATGTCACAAATAAGTTCTCTGCCTTCAGAGAGATAGTGATCTTTGCTGTTTGCCCCACGAAGGCTGAAATTTCCTTCACTTCCTTGCACAATTATTAAGCATCTCCTGCATGATTGTGTGAGGTAGATGGAGTAATATGAAGGATTACAGCAGTTTCTGCCTTCCCAGAATAGTTAGGCAGGTAGGACTATAACAAATGCCTCCTTTATCTTTTAATACATCCTTACGTTTCATATAGAATTCAAATTCAGAAGAGGAAGAGCTCACATCTTACTTGGCAAGGTGAGGTAAGAAGGGTTAATCCATAGAGCTTCTGGCTTTTGAAATCTTTGTTTTGAAGGGTGACTGTGACTTTTGATAAACCAAGAAAAGTCATCCAAGCAGAGAAAAGGGACTAAGAAATTAGAGCACAGAGTTCATATGTTTGGGGAGAGGGAAACAATTATATTTGGGTGAAACATAAAGTATTTGTACTAACATAAAGGCTGATAAAACGAAGTAAAAGTTTGAACCGGTTTATGATTGCTTTTAAGGCTGGGCTAATGACCTTGGATATAATAGGTTTGGGGGGGTTTTACAGATGATTTTTTGAGTTGCGAATGAAAAACTTAAAATACTGTTTTCAGAGGATTAATTTGGTAGTGTGAATTGAAGTAGAAATCTAGAGGTAGAAAGACCTTGATTGCTGGTAATACCCATAGGTAATGAGGGTCTGAACTAAGGCTGGAATATTAGGAATGGAAAGGACAGAATTTGATGGTCAGAGAAAAAAAATGAAGAAAGTAAAAATAACAGATTCTGACACAGGTTGGGAAAATAATGGTACCATTTTGAACAGTATCCGCGGAAGCTTTATCTTCGGCAGATGTACGTTACTTTACAGGGGTAATTATTAGCCTTTTGGTGATTGCTAATCCTTGGTGAAACTAAAAAAAATCTGGCATGGAAAATTTCCATATGCACCTGTGCTTTCTGTATATAATTTTAGGGAAGTCCATGAACTCACCTGAAGCTCACCTATGGAACCTGTGGGTCAGTAGTTTGGGCTAGGAGCAGCTCTCAGGATTACTGGAGGCTTTTGAAAACCATAGAATTTTCAAATTCTTCCATTTACTGATAACCCCTACTGTAGAGACATACTTTATATACACTTAAATACAATATCTCTACTTTGTGTTGTGGTTTACAGTTTACCAAGAATTGGTACTGTTATTTGCTATTATATAACAGACTAGCCTAAGAGGTTAAATGATTTGCCCTGAGTGTTTCAGTTAGCAGGTGAAAAATGGAACTAGGAACTGATTGACACTGATGGTTTTCTTTCTTGTTAGAAGATGTATAATTTACCATCAGTTGCATATAGTTACTACCTTTAAGTGACCTCATCAGTAAGACTAAGTGATCCTGGAGGTTCCTTTCAGTTTTTAACATTTTGTAGTTCTTGAGACTTTGATTTTTATTGTACTATCTGTACTGTTCTTGTTTTCCATGTGGAGGAGAGCAGATAGCAATATTGGACCAATCACTTTTTTATTTCCTTTGTATCTTAGTTTGGGTTTGGGGGAAAGAGGGGAAGTGATATATGAAATCTTAAGAACTTTTATCTTTATTCTATCTTCTTAACGTTCACTTATGCCTTACTTAAAAAATATTCCTTTCACTTCATTCATACTTATCAAGTAAAAATGGACACTTTACAAAAGAAATGAAGTGTGGGGTCCTACTCAGTGCATTTCTTCATCAGATTAAGGAGCTAACTCTCCCCAGTATGATTAAAGCATAATTTGATTAGTAAATAATTAACTTTTCTCCACCTATAAGATTATATTCCTGATAGGGAACCTGAGAAAATTATTATTTAGTATCTTTTGTAGCTCTAGAAACTTTGATTCCATAATTATTAGAAAGACTGGGGTCTTTTTTACTCTTTCTATAAAAATATGATGTAATAACAAGGAGTGGAAAAAACAACAAATTGGCCTTTATAGTAGTGTTGAAGGAACTAGTTGCTAATACTTAATGGAGGGAAAATGTCTAGCAAAAGCACGTACATAGATGATTTTTCTACTCTTTGCTGACATTAAGAAGAGGATCATATCTTTTATTTGTATAGCATTTGATATTTTTCCATAATGGTTATATAGACTGTATTATTTGATTTTTATGACACCTGAGCAGTAGGTGTGTCAGGAGATAATCATTGCTTTTTTAGATGAATACACTGATGCTCAAAGAAGTTGGAAAAAAATTCCGAGTATATGACTAGTAAGTGGCTAAAATTAGAACTAGAACTAAGACCCATATTTTTGTTCCTAGGCCAGTAAATTTTTTTCTTCCTAACTCTTCATCTAGAATGGAAATATAACTGAAGGCTATATATGAAGAGTTTGAAATCTGTGTTAAACTTTTGTACTATGTAAATCTGAACTTGTCTACTTTTTCCTTTGTGTTAAATAGAATGATAACCTCATTGCAGTGGCTGTTGATGGGTAATTTTGAAATTTATAAGTATTTATCAAAATAGTTATCCTCCTGTCAACGAAAGAGCAAAAGTTGATTTCTTGTCTAAAAAAGTACATTAGTGAAATGTAGGTATCAATTTCCTTCTGGAAATTTGTTGATTTTAATTCAGCTGCTTTTACTGATGAAGTTTGTTCTCCCATTATAAAAGCCTCGTCTATGGAAATTTGCATTTTTGGAGTGTATAAATCAGGATGTGATTTCTGAAAGTATGTATCATGATTTTTACTGTCACATGATAGTGATAGCTTTTTATCATGATAAAAAGCTTTATCATTAAAAAAAGATTTGCCATTAAAAAGCTCTTAGTATATACTTCAAATTCACATTATTAAACAGCTCTTGGAGCTTATTATATAAAACCATATGCCAGATAACTCCTAAGTTATAAGGAAGACTAACATTTGTCTTGACATTCCTTAAACTTATTGTTTGTTCATAACACAGCCTGTACCTATTACATGCCAGGTATTGTGCTAGGTGCTGGAGTACAGTGCTAAGAGGACAAACAGGAAGCCTGTCCTCTTGGAACTCAGTTTAGTGGGGTCACTAACATTAAGAAGGGCCTAAGAGTTTTATCTTGTGAGATTGTATGAATGTTTGGGGTTATAATTCTTTACTTTTCTCCTTTACTCTGGGTTTTGAACAAATTATGCCAAAACGCAAGGAACCAGGTAAACATTGTTTTGGTCACTTACTGCTCTTTAACAACCCTAACACTAAATGACTTAAAACAATCATCTTATTTGCTTATAGTTTTGCTATCCTGGGCTGGGCTCATTTGAGCAGTTTAGGTTTTGCTGGTGGTCACTCTAAAGGGTACATTCAGCTGGCAGTTCAGCTGGGAGATGATCTTCTCTCTCCTTTTCTTTTCTTTTCTTTTCTTTTCTTTTCTTTTCTTTCTTTCTTTTTCATATTTCTTAAAGTTTCAGGGACCTGCTTCCTAAGTGGCCTTTCCACCAGTGTGGCTGGCCTTACATAGTGGCTTAAGATGCAAAACAGTACAAAAGAAGGACCCAGGCCTTCCTAAGGCATAGGCT